TCCTCCCACCTTCTCCATACAACATTAGTATTTTATGATGTCTGACATAATACAAGAACATATATATGACTACATATATATATATGTATATATGTATATGTGTGTGTACGCGTATATATTTTTTAAGAATATTGTTGAAAGCCAAATGGAAATAAAGAGATTTCTGATGATTTGCACATGGTACCTTGTCAGAAAGAGCCTGTTTTCCAGGCCTCATCCTTGTATTTACCAACAGTCTTTTCATTTTACTTATTTACTTACTTTGTCTATGTTCCAAGGAATGCTCTATCTACAAAGGCAAGTTGTCAAGGTTGCATTAGCCATGGTACATGTCTGTTCATGAAAAATCAACACAGAGCACAGAAGGCCAGGGAAGAGTGGCAGGTTACTGTAAATGGAAGCATAGTCTGTCAAGACAAGTGTACCAAGAGACCCCTCTGGGGACAACACACGGCAGCTGCTCTTCATTTGTGTTCAGAGACCATAAGCTGAGCTCAAGTCTTCTTTGCCTTGGTGGCCTCAGAAAATTCCAAAAAAAGAAAAAAAAGAAGAAGAAGAAATAAGGAAATGAAAAAGAACCCCTCCGTGGTCTCATGTACCCGGTGCCCTGCAGTTTCCAGGCCTCTTCTCAGAATAGCCCGATTCCAAGGGAAAGAAGAGAGGCCCTACTCACACTAAGACCCAAGCAAAGGAGCTAGAAGCATTGTACCCACTGCACTGCTCGCTGAAATGACCAAGCAGACGCCATAACAGGCTGCTCAGTCTTCTCTCAGAGATCAGGCCTCAGTTTCAGTTTCCTGAGACTTGAGCAAGCAGTTTCTGGGAGGGCCTTGAACAAAAGACATAGTCCTTGCAGTAGCTCCCTTTCTGCATGTACTCTGACTGCTCAAGGTTCAGCCAATTGTTTACTGTCTGGGGTCCCTCACCAACTTAGAGCTATATGCATGGGTCAGTGTGAAAGCCTGGGCCACTGAGTCAGCCCCCACAGTCAGTACGTGCTAGGCGAGCCAGCCTCCATGGCAGCTCAAGGACAAAGCCTGGGACTTGTTCAGCCCTGCCCCAAAATGGGGAACTGTAACCCCCAACCAACCCTAGCCAATTAAAAGTTACTAACATGATTGCCTCTCACCTAAACCAACCCTGAGTCTGTTCCTACCCAGTCTGTAGACCCCAAGCCCTCCTTGCTTTAAAAACCCTGCCCATTGCTACTTGGGGTCTCTCCTGCTCTGCTGCTGCATCAGACAGAGTCCTGAGTTAACTCGTAATACAGAGATGCTTTGCTTTTACATCAGATTCGGTTTCTTGGTGGTCTTTGGGGGACCCTGAGTACAACACTCAAATTTTAACGTCTAGAGCATTTTTGAGCTCAACAGTAGGTGTTGATAGGTGCTGAGGACAAGACAAGAGGTCCTGGAGAATAATCCAGCACAACAACACCAGAGACTGTGTGCCAACCCAAGAAGCAAGGGCCAGCCCAGGCTCCATGTGTCCCTCCACCTGTATGGGTCCCAGTTTCCTCATTTGTAAAATGAACATCTTGAACATCCAACTTCAGAGGTGGGCCCAGCTCTGCCTTGCATTCTGACCATCACTGTCCCCCCAACTCCCCAAGAAGCCTGGGCTTGCTGCAGTCCATGAAGGGGACCTTGGCAAAAGCAGTGGGAACCCCTACCTCACGTTGGTTCCCTCTCTGCCCTAAAATGTCCCCGTTCACCCAGATACACCTGGCTTTCTAGTAAAGAGGAAGCAACCCATGGAGATGCTAAAGTTCTCATGACACCATGTGCCTCCACCTTGACCCACAAAACTGAACTCTCCAGTGATAATGAGGCTTTTTCTTTTGACATGACGGGCTGGTCCTGGTCCCTGCCCTCTACAAGGGTGTCCATCACCTACCCCAGCAAGCAGTTACTCAGCAACCCACAATTCCTGATCTCTGCTTTCTGTCAGAAGCCTGCTTCTGTTCTAGTACTCTCAGCCTGGACAGGAGCTCAGAAGAAGCAGGCCCATACATCCTGGGCATGATGCAAGACAAGGCTGAAACATGGTAGGCGTATACCCCTTGCCAGAGAATGCTTTGAGTTGGATATGGGGTACACTTCTGCCAGTGAGGCCTGAGGATGAATCTGACTGGTGTAAGGTTTCTTAAAGATTTCCTTACTGTGCGAAAAGATACTATTGAAAATGAGCAGTCAAGTAGCTCATATTTGTTTTATGGTTAAGGCACTATTAATGAAGAAAAGAAACTATTGAGGGCCAGGACCATTGAGCACTGGACAACACTAGGTCTTCAATGACAGAGTTGACCCACTGAATTCAGTCATCTGTGACTGACCCACCTTGGAGCATGGTGGTCACATTCATGGTTAAGTCAGATGAGTGTGTGTTCCTGCCCTTGCAGCTGACTGTATATTAACGTGTACAGAACCTAAACTAATGCACTCTATTTGGTATGTGTGGCTTTCATGCTCTGGTTCTTTCCTGTCTGTCATTACATGTTCAGCCCTGCCTCCCTAGTATTCCCGCTCCTCAACGGTCCACCCTGGGAAACAACATCATTCATCCTTCATGTTCCATTGAAAGCACACATGCCGTGACCTCCCCTGGCCTCCCCATGTCCACAACATGTCAAACACACCTCCTTTTGATGTAACTGCTGCACACCTGTCAACTGCACTAGACTGTGAACTTCTTGTGGGCAGCGGCATGGAGGACCTGGTTTCCTTTATCACCAGCCTCTGCCTGGGGCTCACTCTGTGGTACACACAGTCAAATGTGCTGAATGATACATACTTGCCCTTTGCTACCACATCAGGAATGTGCTCACCCCTCCTATGGTGCAGTTACTTCGTATCTTGATGTGGGTGGACCTTGTCTAGTAAGGACAGCTCACTTCTACAGACTAAAGTGGAAATAGCACTTTCAGAGCCCATCATTGATAATGGCTTAAGGTTTGGGGCACTCGTGTTCATATCATCAAAAGAAATGAGCAAAGATGAAAACGTGACCTACCGTGTTTGGACAGTAAAGGAATCTAGTCTTAAAGCTCAGCTCCAAGATGCACAGATGCTAAGGCCTGGAGAGACTGTCTGTCCACACCGCCTGCCCCACACATCAGTGTGGGATTGGCCTTCGGCGACCAGCACTCTTCAAAGGGAACTGTGAAACAAGGGCTCGGACATGGATCCCCCCGGGATCAGCTCTGCCGATCTCTCTGCTCTTAACACTGCGTGGCCAGAGCCCCATGCAGTTGTCTGCCCTGTGCATTGGCTGCTCTTTGCCTCCCATACTCTCACACACCCACTTTAATCTCTTCCTGCAAATAAATGCAGCTGTTCCAGCAGCTCAACGGAGTGCCCAGATACAAAAGATGTAGTATGCAAATAAGGCAGATAGTAGAGGCCAACTACTGCAGCAAGCCCTTGTCCAGGCCCAAGATGGCCCTTTTGGTAAAGTGGATCAGTCGGCGTGTGGCGGTGTGAGCAATTACACTAAGGTTGTGGTGACTCATTCAGGTCGTGGCAGTCTTGCCATATAACAAAATTCCCGAGGAGTGGCTCTACTCCTCGTAAGGGGAACCAAGTGACAAGGGGAGAAAATACAGCGCCAGGACAGGCGGGCAGGAGAGGCTGCAGGCTGCTGCAATGAGCGCCACAAGGCTGGCTCTCTCTAAGAGCAAGCCTGAATCAGCCTTCAGCACACAGACGCGACAACTGCCCTCTACTCTTCTGTAGTCATTCTGCCTCCTCGCTGCCTGAAAAACACATGAATGCTAGACTAGAGACATTCCCCCATCATAATGTACTGAGTGCTTACTGTATGCTAGCATTAGAAGGCGAGGTAACATGCCCCCTCATTAGGAAATCCTTGAAATATGAAGGAAGACAAGCAAAATGGGGTGAGCAGGGTGGGAATGGAGCAATAGAAATAGAGCGTCCAGGAAGACTGATGTCACCCGAGAATGCCCAGGCATTTAGACTCATCCTGGCTGAGTCTAAAATGTCTTGTAGAAAAGAAAGTATCCTGAGCCTCTGACATTAGTCTTGGAGACAAGAGAGTACATCCAAAGGCCATGGTCTGACTCTGGGGTGGGTGGGCTGAAGCACCCTGGGACACAGAGGTAAACTTTCACATCTAAACCCAGCCACATGCTGCTCTCAGCTTCATTTCCCCCTGGCTTTCTCGTGATGTGCCCTGGCACATACCCAGGGCCCACAATCCACCTTCTAGCCTTTCTTATCTGAACATGGGCTCTGTGTTCTGCCTCTGCTGTTTCCCTTTCTGGTCCTTCCCGTCTACCTAGACCCCTCAATTCCCTGTGAAGTCCTCCCACACTCCTGGAACCTGTGGGGATCCCTTCTATAACCTCTTGTATGGCTACTTGGTGGCATGGGTCATGTCTTTACCTTTAACGATCCCTGCCTGCAGATTGTCCCTCTTCCAGAGGGCTTGTCAGCCTGAAGCCCCAGGACACAAGGTGGTATGCACAGCAAGGGGACCCAAGCGGTAAGATTTCTGGTGCCTCAATGAAACAGGAGTTCCTGGTGACCTCCCTGCATAGCACAGGTCATCAGAGAAATCCACTAACTCATCCCTTCTGCTTACAGTGCCCCATGCTGAACCCCCTAACCTGGTACCCCACTTTTGGTGCATCACCAGAACCTTCTCTTTTGAGAGCAATCTGATTCTTTCCTATTCTTGATGATCAGAAAACAACACAACAGCATAAGAGGAAAAAGCTCTGGCCCTGGGTACAACTGGGCGTGGCTCTCGGCAGCAGCAATCCAATGGCTCACTAGAAAGACTTCAGTGGCTTGAGGGTATTTCACTGCACCAGGAGCACTGTCAGAGCCCTAACACTCAGGGCTTGTGAGCACAGCATAGGACCTCCCAGGACTGGACCCATCTTCAAGCTTAAGAGTTGCTCTCCTGCCTCCCATTGCTCAACAAAGTTGACAAGTCCCACGAAACCCTGAAAACAGGAATCTCATGAAGCAGTGGCATTTGTGAAATGTCTGAAAATCAAAGGGGATCTGGGGCCTGGGGACAAGTCAGAAGGCGGCATGCTGCCAAGTGAGAAACCGAAGTGACAAGGATAGCAAAGTGCCAACCCCGTTCTACAGGGAACACTGGCACCTGGCATCTGGACTGTGAAGTCCATGCCCAAGAGGGTTCAAGGTGGACAGAAACTGACACAGCCATGTGGTTCCTGGGAATGTACAGAGCCATGGGGGGTGGGTTGGGGAGGAGTGTAGGTCACCGCACACAGCAAGGGACTACACCAAGGCAGAGGCTATCCCTTGGGGGATAACAATCCAAATGTTATATAAAGCACAGGCTATCCCTTGGGGGATAACAATCCAAATGTTATATAAAGCACAGGCTATCCCTTGGGGGATAACAATCCAAATGTTATATAAAGCACAGGCTATCCCTTGGGGGATAACAATCCAAATGTTATATAAAGTACAGGCTATCCCTTGGGGAATAATAACCCACGTGTTATATAAAACACTCAGGTCATAACCATTGAAGCCTTGTGCTCCATGATCCCCAGTACACGAGGAATATCACATTGGTACTTCAGTTGGCCCATCTGTAAAATGGGATGCTTGGCCCTTGAGCTTACGCTGGTGCTCAGAAACTGCTGCTGTCATTTGGGAGAGACACTGAGGATAAACAGAAGAGGGAAGGCAGAAATCTCAACCTTTTCCTCACGGTGCCCATATCCACACCTGATACCCAGGAGAGATCGAAATGGTACTGGTCTCTAGCAGCTCTGCAGCTAAGACATTTTTACAGGTGTTCCTGCTGTAGAAACAGCCAGCCAGCAAAAGCAAAATCCCAGGCTGGGCCAGCCTTGTCACTTCAAGTGATGAGTATGTGACGGTTTCTCTCAGACACGCGTCCTCAGAAGTGTGTAGCTGACTCACGTGCCTGTGAGTCCACAGAGGAGGGACAATCATCAAAGCTTGACTTCTCACTCAGCATAGCCTGAGTCTCACAGAGGAATGCAGCTGGCCTCCTCTTCTTCCAAGGGATCCAGAAGGACTAGAAAACAAGCAGGTAAAAAAATTATAGACAAGTGTTTGACAAAAGCGACAAGATTATACTATGACAGATTCTGTCTGTGACAGATTCTGTCCGTGATAGATCACTTTGGCCCCCTCTCCAGAATCTAAAGGCTGAAGGCTTAGGCAATTCACAACTGTGGATAATAAGGTACCAACCTTGGGTCAGAAAAGAAACTCCAAGTGCTGTGGATGATTGATTGATAATAAAATGCTGATTGGCCAGTAGCCAAGCAGGAAGTATAGGCGGGACAAAGAGAGAGGAGAAGTCTGGGAAGTGGAAGGCTGAGGCAGAGAGATGCTGCCAGCCGCCATGATGAGGAGCAGGATGTAAAGTACCAGTAAGACATGAGTCACGTGGCAAGATATAGATTAATAGAAATGAGTTAATTTAAGATAGACTAACTAGATAGCAAGAATTCTGAGCCATTAGGCCAAACAGTTTAAAAAATATAAGCATCTGTGTGTTTATTTTACAAGTGGGCTGTGGGACTGCTGGGGCTTGGCGGGACCTGGAGAGAAACTCTCGAGCTACATCCAAGGGTGCCTAGTTCAAATCCACCCTCCCAGCACAGCTGGCCCTTCTGTGCTATGGATCAGCACTTTTGCTTTACACCAGATTTCAACCTGTCTTCCTCCCTCAGGTCAACTACCTGCCTGCTGTATACAAGGCCTGTGCCTCAGGGCGTACCACAAGCACTGTTTCTCTGCCTGCTGTTTTCACAGTGCCCAAGGAAGTCCCCTCAATGGAGAGTCAGAAGTGCTCCCCTCCCAGTACCAGTGCCTGCTCACCCTGTCCTCCAGGATCGAGGCCTCTTCAAATCATCCATGGAAATATTTCAGTACTAATCCCTGGGCAGTTCTGACCATTGACCTTCCTTCAGTCCTCAGAAAACTGCTATTCCAAGCATGCTTTCTAGGCTCTACCCTGGCCTCTGCCATCTGCCTAGTACCCTCAGCTTCCCCTCAATACCCAAGCTTCCCCATCCCTCCCTGCTCTGGCATCTCACAGAAGACACATCCCTCAGACAGACAGCAGGGCCAGGTCCTCAACAGTACACCTGATCATCAGGTCTGAAACTAAAAGACTCAGAGATGGGGTACAGGGAGGTGGCTCAGTAGGTGAGAGTATTGCTATGTGAACATGTGGATTCGAGTTTGAATCTGAGCATCCATGTGAACAGCTGGATACGACCACATACACACGAGCAATTCCCAGGCTGGAAGGAACATACTCTGTGTGTACATGCATCACACACAGAAACATGCACAAAAAGAATCATACAAGGATTCAGGAAGGCTCACAGAGTGGTTGAGATCACATGCCCTTAGGAAGGAAGACTGGAGGTTAGTGAAAGAATTCAGAACTTTCTCTTCTATACTGTCTAAAGTCTTAATAAATGTCATTTCATTTTTTATGGGAAAATGTGGGCACTGAGTCATACTCCTAGAGATAACTGTTTGTTGAGTTGGGGTGTCAACACCTGTGTTTTGCTTAAACAGAAGGCATTGGGCTAGTGAGCTGGAGGTGCGCATAGCTAACTGTGTAACAGGGTAGCAGGTAGAGACAGGGTTGTCCCTGTATGGCTCCCTCTGTAGAAGTGTCCTGTCCTTCTTACAGAAGTCAGATGGGACCATGGTCTCCACAGAAGGCCTATTTCCAAAGAAAGGAAAGGCACAGTGGACTCTCCATTGAGGATCGAAAGTTCACAGAGGGACTCAAGGCCCAAATCTCAGTGCCAGCTGAGTGTGACTCTGAGCTTATCCCAACTCACAGCACTGTTGTGGACATCCCATTTGCTGTGTGTGCTGTCTGTGGCGTGAGAGGCATGCAGAGTTACAGTGACAGCAGGTGAACTCCTCGTCACTGCTGTCCTCACCCCATCCTTACCTTTTCCTGTGAAATCACATCACAGCAGCATCACTGACTGATACCTCTGCCTCCATGACCAGGCCACAATGCTCACACTCCCCCATGGGTACAGCTATCTACATCACTAAACCCTAGCTCCCTAACAGCTGTCGCTTGCATACCACAATGCAATGGTCTCTCTTTGCCATGACGTAGCCAGGTAGGACATCATTTGGTCTGAAAGTCCTCCTGCCTTGTGAGAAGTTCTAAACTCTACTAGGTAAGTCTACAACAGAGTGGTCACAAAAGCACTTCTATGGATATGACATCAACCTCCCTTGCAGCAGCCTCCCTTGCAGCAGCCTCTTCAGTCTAGTGGCCTCCCACATTACATCCCTCTCTCCGGGGACAACTGTGTCTCCTCTCTCCTGTCTTTTCAATCCCAGGTTAAGGAAAAATGCATTCTTTCTTCCCAGCACTCAGTGACTACGCACCCCATTCTCTGAGTTGAAAATTGGGGATCCAAGTAGGGGACCCTGCTTCTTCTTCCAGATGCCACCCCTGACCTGTACAGTCTGTGGTACCTCCTTCTCTGAGCACTCACCCCTTCTCTGCACTTTGCCTGATTCTCTTCTGAGGCAGGGGGATGTGCGCTTCCCTAGCTGTGGTCCACACTTCTGGTATCAGCTCATGACTCAGCAGAGCAGCAGGAAGTTCCAGTGTTGCTGCCACACGAACCTGGTTACCAGTCCCCAAGGCCCCTACAGAGGGGGCAAGGTAAAGGCAGGCTCTCATCTAAGAGAAGGCTGCTTCCTCACATCTGCAGAAACATGAAAGAAACGTGTGTGCTGTGCCCTGGTTCTGAGGCTCTAAAACAGTTCAGAGCCCTTGGCTTACATTCAGACTCCATAATGACCTTTGCCACAGGATTGCTGCTGCAAATAGCGTGGAGGCTTCATCGTGTGGCGTACTGTACAATAAAAACCGAGTGTGGCACTGTGGTGGTTTGAAAGAAAATGGCCACCAAAGGGAGTGGGGGTGTGGCCTTGTTGGAGGTGTGTGTCACTGAGGTAGTGGGCCTTGAGATCTCTTTTGCTCAAGCTTCCCTCAGTGTGACAGTCAGTCGACTTCCTGTTGCCTGCAAGATGTAGCACGCTCAGCTCCAGCACCATGTCTGACTGCATGCTACCATGTTCCCCATCATGATGATAATGGACTGAAACTGTAAGTGAGCCACTCCAATTAAATGTTTTCCTTATAAGAGTTACCCTGGTCATGGTGTCTCTTCACAGCAATAGAAACCCTAAGATGAGCACCTTGGAGATCTGAGAGAGAGAAAAGCTACATTGAGATAGATGAGGGAGTCCTCCTTCTGCCCTCAGTTACCTTTCTCTGGGCTTGTGGATAAATCACAGCCTCCATGGCCCAGCGACTTCCTACACCCTGCATAGCCGAAGGAGCCCACGGGGTGTGTTGGCCACAGCTCCCAAGTCACGGTGACATACTGGCCTCCATTTGGTCTGTCTGCACCAAGGCTAGCAGCTCAGGCTTGTCAAACAGAGATGCCCTCCCAGCCTCGGCTCATAGTTCCCATCAGGACATCTTCCCACAGAGTCTGCCTCAGCTAGTCAAAGGACACTTGTAATTAGGACCCTTCAGAGGTCTCGTCTGCAGTCAGTGTGGACAGGTAGAGGTGGTGGCCATGGTGACCTCCTTACTAGAGTCATTCCTGCTTCTGAGTCTGTGCAGACTGCCCCCGCCTCCTGTATGGGAAAGGGTTTCCATCTACAGCTCGTTCGTCGTGGGAATAACCAGGGTCTGGAGGTCTGAGGTCTGAAGGACAATGAGCCAGGAGAAAACTCCTCCCTATTCTTTTTTACTTACACGAAACCAAATGGAGGACAGACACCAAGCAAGATCTGGCTCAACTTTTTCAAACGGCCCCTGGCTCCTAGGAAAACCCTATCCAGTTGTCCAAATTCACTCTCCTCACTCCAGGTGCAGGTCACCCACAAATGCCGTGGAGAGCTGCTGGAAGGCAGCTTTGCTGTCTCCAGTGACCAAGCTGAGCACCCCTCCTTAACTCTCCATCAGCAGACCTTATCTTTCCAGAAAACAGATGAAAAGGTCTGAGGGAGGATGGCTGCCTCGGGATGGGCATGGCTTTTATTAATGGAACATTTTCTCAGACCTTAACTAAACCTCATCCACTTTTGTCAGTCAGGGCCGACAGTTGAGAGCAGTATTAGAGAAGGTAATTGCACGTATCAGTCAACAGCCTTTGTCCCTTGGCCGCCCAGAATTACAGTAAAACGGGCCCAGGAAAGCAGCAGGCTGGATTAAAGCGAGAGAGCCCTTTCTCGGGTTTCTCACACTCACCAGCTGTTCTGGGCTGTAGGCACACAAGCAGCAATAATGTCTGGGGAAACCCAGCCTCTCCGGTCTGGGCTCCTTCCCCTTCTGCCTCCTCTCCACCTTGAAAGTGATTTATCTTTGACTTTAAAGAGAAACATTTTCAAAAAGCATTCTATCTCCCCATAGCAACTAAGCGATTGACTCTGTATGAATTTTTCTCCCATTAAAGTATGTAACTACACATAAACCTGAGACTCCTGTCATTTCTCAGACCGACTATAAACTAACCAACTCGGAGCCTTTGAAGTCACTTGGTTACAGGTCCTGATGGTTGCTTAAGCAAACACCATGCAGGCCACAGGCACGTTTTATATGGCTGCGACTGTAAATCGTCCTAGCTTCACTCAGATGGGCCCACCACTCCGCCGTAGGTACCAGAGTGCTGGTTAAGACCAAGAAGGCACAGAAACATCACCCATGTTTGGGCACTTGACACAAATGCTCACCCTAGGCAAGTGCGATTGTTTCCAGGTCCCTGGTGATCCAGACACTGTAGCCTCCAAGTTCCAACACCAAAATCCTTCCCTTCTCCACTGCAAGAGAAGGCTACCTAGAAAAGCCTAGCAGGCCTGGCCACAAAAGCAGAACTGTTCAGAACTGTATTGTGTATGTGAGAACAAAATTAACTGTCCTGTCAGGCGGTGGTGGCCCATGCCTTTAACCTCAGGAGGCAGAGGCAGGTGAATCTCTAAGTTCGAGGCCAGCCTGGTCTACAGAAGGAGATCCAGAACAGGCACCAAAACTACACAGAGAAACCCTGTCTTGAAAAATGAAAAAAAAAAAAAATGTGACTGTCCTGAAGATGAACCAATGAGACAGATGCCAGAAAACCACAGGCCAGAGGGCTGTAATGAAACTCGGGCTGGGAAAACCTTAGCCGCTTTTACCATGGTTCTGGTAATGGCTGAGACACCAATGCTGAGGGCCATGGGAAAGCTGATGGCCACTAAAGTTAGGACTCTAAAAACTACAAATACTGTTGTACACCAGAGCAGCCAAGATCAAGCCATAGTGTGATAACAGTCTTCCGTCCTAGAGGTGGAGAGCCAAGGTTCCCACACATTAGGAGACTCACCTGAGCTAGCCTGTGAGCAACACAACAAAATCCAGACTCAGCCGGCTCTTTCAAAGCCATCTCACTGTAGAGTGGGTGCTTGATTCTGGACACCAGGGGCCCAGGGAGCTCATGAGGGGCCCACGATCCTCCTGGGGCATTAGATTTATTTTGGCTGTTGGTGGATGTCAAAAGACAGAGTAGGATGTCATGGTTCGAAGTAATTCGAGACGACATTCACACCTTACCTTTCACCTTAAACTCTGGCTACGGCAGTCAGCAGGACACAGTGTTGATGAGCATTCTCTAGAAGGCTGGCTGAATTAATATGATCCAAAACTCAAAAAATTTCACAAAATGATGCCAAGTGGGAAGCGCTCTCTCTCTCTCTGCTGTCTCATTCTCTTCACTGGAAAACATTGCATTTTCTCCCTCTTCCTACCTGTGCACAAGACAAGAAGCATGTAGTAAGGCCTGTTTTACCATTTTTGAACACAGAGCCAACTAAGCATGTTTTCCACACTTGGATTTTTTTTAACTATGAATCTTTGACTTCCCATCAAGTTTTTAAAAGTTCCTCTTGTTCCGGTGTGCGGCTGCTTTGTGCTCTGACGTTCTCCTGCCTGTTCAGTAAGTCTACTCTCCAGGTTCTGAAACCGCGGCACCGCAAACGATGCTCCAGTGAGTCACTTCACACTTCACACAGTGGGTCAGTTCATACTTCACACAGTGGGTCAGTTCACACTTCACACAGTGGGTCAGTTCACATTTCACACAGGGGGTCAGTTCACACTTCAGAGAACGCATGTGCAGTGCCTTGCGAAGAAGACCCGCTGGGTCCATGACCCGCACGTCCCGTCTGCATAGGTACCAGCAGACTTCTCTCCACAGAAGTCATCTGTGGGTGTGAGCCGCTCCCGGCGCGATGTGATGATGGAAATGGAATCACACTGTAACGGGAATTTACATTTTTCCTGAGAAGGGCTGGGTGGCTTCTCCTGGACATGACAGCCTGATCTCTTGCTCTATGAACGCCTGTACACACCCTTTGCTAGCTTGTTGCCAGGGTCTAGAGCTTGTTCAGCTGGCTTGTAAAGTGCTTCATGACACAGAAACACACTCTTGGCCTGAGGCATGAAGTGCAGTTTTTCTGGGTTTAGGGATGTTCCTTCTCTTATCACCCCAACGTGGTGGCCCCAGCCCAATGCTGAACCTCCACACGCAGGCACCTGTCCTTCCTGGATCCTACTCAGCTTCAACCTGGCTAGATGAAGCCAGGCTTCAAAATCAGGTCGTCTGGGTGACATATGTCAGCTTTACCTGACCCGATACTACAAGCATGAAGGCCATACATGTCACCTACACACACACACACACACACACACACACACACACACACACACACACACTGTAATACAGAGAAACTTCATTAATACTACCTGATAGTAAGGAGAACATGCTGGTCTACTACCAAAATAACATGGGATGTCCCTGGGGCTAAGATAAACCACAATTTGCTAACTTGAGATGCTGAGAGCTCTGGCGGCTTGAGTTTCAGGTGAAAAACCACATAAAATCGCACCTGAATTCAAGGGCAAGAAATCTACTCAGAAAAAAACAAAACAAAACAAAAAAAAAACCACCTAGCTGGAAGGTGGAGCGTGACAGGTGCAGGCCAGCACACCAGGAAGCAGTGCTGCTGGAGCCATCCACGCCCACATCTGTGCCAGCAGCTGATGCCAACCTCAGCATCTGCACAGGAAAAGTCCTATAATAAGTGACCAAGGGACACCCACGTCTGGATACCCATAACTTTATACAAATAACCTTACCCAGTTCAACACAACTCCCATCACTCAAGCGAGACTTGTCCAGTGACATCAATGCCACTTTGGGAGAATCAAGGCTTACAGCCCTTCTGGTTCCTTCCTCCGAAATGGCCACCAAACAGACTAAGCTTTGTCTCTCACTGCAAGCCAAAAGACTGGCTTCCACATGCCAGCCACACACAGGCAGCATCAGTGTGCTGCAGTTGTGCCAGTACATGTGTGTCCATATGTAAGAGTATGTGTCTGTGCATATATGCATGTTTCTGAATGTATATGTGCGTGCATGTGTGAGTGTGTGTGAGTGTGTGTGTGTGTGTGTTGCTTCGTTTTTGTCAAGCTGACTCGAATATAGACCTATTTGGAAAGAAGGACTCTTAATTGTGAAAACACCTCCCTACAATTGGTTTGTAGGCAAATCTGGGGTATTTTCTTGATTAACGACTGATCCCTGGCCAGGTGGTTCTGGGTTGTTTAAGAAAGCAAGTTGAGCAAGCCATGGGAAACAAGGTACTAAGCGGCATTAATCTGTGGCCCCTGCTTCAGTTCCTGCCTCCAGGTTCTTGCCACCTTCCCTTCATAAAAGACTGTAAACTGAAAGGCATAATTAACCTCTCCTCCTCACGCTGCTTTGGGTCATGTTATTTATCACAGCAGCAAAAACCTAACCAGTATAGTGTGTTTGTGTTTAGGTGTGCATGAGTATGTGTGTGTCTGTGTGTGTGTGTGTAAGTGTGTGCATGAGTATGTGTCTTTGTGTGTGTGTGTGTGTGTGCGTGCGTGAGTATGTGTCTGTGTCTATGTGTGGATATATGTGTAAGTGTGTGCATGAGTATGTGTGCATGTCTATGTGTGGATATGTGTCTTTGTGTGTGTGTGTGTATAAGTGTGTGCATGTGCATGTAAATGTCCACATGTGTGGTTTTGTGCTAAGGGGCTCTGAAGCCAAGATCCATTCCTGTAACTGAGACTCTCATGTACGGACAGGTGAGACAAAATCCTCACTCTAGTTTCTAAAGCAACCCCAACTATTATATACTATCAAACACAAATCAAATTGAGAATATTCAAGTCTAATAATGTAGGTGGTGACTATCTTCTAGTTTTAGTCTTTTTTGGAGAGAGAGCGAGTGATCTGTGGGTGTCTTGTTCATTCTGGGCGTGAGCTCTATCACTGAGCTATGTCCCCAGCCCTCAGTCTTTATTTCTTTATAACCAGTGTTCACTTGAAAGCTGATAACTGTCAGCAGATTGTCAACAATCTACTCATTTATCATTCTAAAAGCATTTTAGGAGCTACTAATTTGCATCAGTGTCTTTAAAAAAAAAAGGCAAGTCAAAAAGGGGCGTGTCCATGACGTGCACTTACAGGAAGTAGGAGAGCAGGAGCGGTGTTTTAAGGCCGTTAGGATGCTAAGGACATTAGTAGGGATGTGTCTGGCAATTTAACTTAGGGACTCTAAGTTGGGAAGAATGGCAAAAGGTGTCTGAAAGAGTCTGTGAGGGAGCTAGTGAGTTGTCACACCCGCAGGCACTAGGAAAGCTACCCAAGCTGGGTACAGGTGCCCAACAGGGGTGACAAACTCCCACCCACAGGCAGCTGCTGTGGCTGTGACTCTGAGGCCAGGATCTCCGAGAGCAGGCTCTGAACACTAGAAGAGCCAGGTTGTGAAAGATCAGACTCCAGACACTCACCTGAGACCCTGAAGACCCTGAAATGTACCAAGCAGAGAATGGCCAGGTGAGACCCACCTCACAGGGACCTCTCTGAAAGCAGAGGGGCCAAACTGCTAAACAGGAAGTAGTTTGTATTTCCTCTGTCTCCACACCAAAGTCATTTTCTCCCCTCCCCCAACCCCACCCCTCTCGTGACTTTCTCCATGGCGGATCTGCTTAGGGAGGAAGTAATTCATAACATGGCTGATAATGACTGATGAGACTCAGTTATGTTTCGATGACACAAATGTTAAGCAAAGGAATGAACTCCATTGTGGAATTTTAAAAATCAAATGGACAGGACACATATCTGAATGGGAAAGACCAACCAGTGTTCTCGGTTTAGGGAGCTACTTCTGTCACACACACACACACACACCACACACCACACACCACACACCACACCACACACATACACCACACATCTCTCTCTCTCTCTCACACACACACACACACACACACACACACACACACACACACACCACACACCACACACCACAC